CAATCCAACCTGCCCTCACGGACACCTGTCCAACTCTATCCCACGTACAAACGACCTCTTCCAACGACCCCCCGCCCCACCCTTTGTGGTTTTTTTAAATATGTGAGGCAGCGTGGTGGAATCAGGCTCTCGTCAAAATAATCAAAGTTAAGAAACTTGCATTTTTCCGCAGGTTTATGAATTTTTATTTAAAAAATTGTTTTCTGGCTCAACACCTTTCATGCCCATTGAAGAACTCATTTCTGTATGGATTTTTCTGAGAAATGTTGATTAAAGGCACGCAAAATGTAAATTTTTACTTGCCACGCACTCTTAAGCTAAGGAAAAGACTAATCTGAGGCGGCCAATTTCTCACTAATTTTACCTCTGAAAACAGGTGACCTCCACATCCTTCTTTCGCAAATATCTCGACTTGTATTCAAAATAAATTGATCTTTTTTCATTTAAAAAAAGGCAGTTGAACAAGCTTTAAGATGACATCAATAACTCTACATGCCCAAAAATTGACGAGAGCCTGATTCCACCACGCTGCCTCACATATGATAATAGCACTGTTCAGGACGTCCACTTGTCTAAGAGTAAGACAACCTCTTGTCTCTTGTCCCCTTGACAAAGGTTGGCCGTCTTTGACGATTTCGAATGTGTTTTGTGTAAGTGCGTGTGTGTATGTGTGTTTTTGTGTGTGTGTTTGTATGTGTTTGTATTTGTGTGTGTGTGTGTGTGTGTGTGTGTGTGTGTGTGTGTGTGTGTGTGTTGTGTGTGTGTATTTGTGTGTGTTCTGTAATGGGTGCGTGTATTTGAGTGTATAGTCTAGTACAAGATGTATATAGTATAATATCCATTAGTTGAAGGTTTTCCTGATTTTGCTCCGGCTGTTGCTGTTGCTGCTGTTGCTGTTGCTGCTGTTGCTGTTGCTGCTGTTGCTGTTGCTGTCACTGTTGCTGTTGCTGTTGCTGTAAACACTAGAGCTGTTCTCTGTCTCGCTCTCTAATATACACAGATCCTGAGACACAGATTATTATTATTTTACGCTCTGTCTGTCTGTTTGTCTGTCTGTCTGTCTGTCTGTCTGTCTGTCTGTCTGTCTGTCTGTCTGTCTGTGTCAGACTTTTTCTCGAATGTTCCACCGTGACGTCACGGTCAGTCTGACTGCTGGGCCGGAAATGCTTTGATGTGTTACCGTCGAAACTGCTGGGGAATTAATTACACGATATCAAAGTCGTAAATAGATTACCAGTGAAAAACAGTGAGCCTTGTGTCATGTTCTGCTCTGTCGTTCTTCTAGGCGCTGTCTATGTCTACTCATTTTCTGATAGCTGTTACATATATGAGGAAGCGTGGTGGAATCAGGCTCTCGTCAAAATAATCAAAGTAAAAAAACGCGCATTTTTCCGCAAGTTTGGGAATTTTTATCAAATTTATGTTTTTTGGCCCAACACCTTTCATGCCACTTAAAGAACTCATTTCTGTGTGGATTATTCTGAAAAACCTAAATTAAAGGGGCACAAAATGTAAATTTTCAGTTACCACGGACTCTGAAACTAAGGAAATAACTAATCTTTGGGAGCCATTTTCTCACTAATTTTACCTCTGAAAACAGGTGACATCCATCTCCTTCTTTCGCAAATATCTCGACTTGTATTCAAGATCAATGGACTTTTCCCCCATCCAAATAAAGACAAGTGAACAAGCTTTAAGATGATACCAATAACTCTACATGCCCAGAAATTGACGAGAGCCTGATTCCACCACGCTGCCTCACATATATTTTGTTCCAGGCCCTGTCCATGAACCTGGGCGGTGCGCCCGCGGGGCCGGCCGGGACGGGGAAGACAGAGACCACCAAAGACCTGGCCAAGGCGCTGGGCCTGCTGTGTGTGGTCACCAACTGTGGCGAGGGAATGGACTATAAGGTTTTAGCTGCTTTTTGTTTGTTGTTGTCAGTTGTTTTTGTTTTTTCTATGGACTGTAAGGTTCTGCTTTTCCTTTTTGTCGTGGGGTTTTTTATTTTTAGATATGGACTATGAGATTCTGCTTTTTGTTTGTTGTGGGATTTAAAAAAATTTTTTTGGGACTTTAAGGTTCTGCTTTTCCTTGTCGATTTTTCCCAAAAAATATGGACTCTAAGGTTCTGCTTTTTGTTGTTGTCGTCCATTGTAAAAAAAAAGAAAAAAAGACTATTTACTTGTCTTTTCATATTGAATTTTAATTAGAGTAATATGTGAAGCGTGGCGACAAAATGAGTTACTTCTTGAATCCAAGCCTTATTGAAATAAATACATCACGCTATTTGGTGAAGTTTTTACAATTTATAAGTATCGAATAATAAATGGCACGTTATACAAAAAGAATGTGGCATCAATAGAAAATCTACTAATCTGACCCTATAGTGTGGACTTTTGGATAATATTTCCGTTTGTGGATTGCGAGAAGTAACTCATTTTGTCAGCACGCTTCACATATATAATTTCCCCCTCGACATCCTAAGGATACCAGAAGAAGGAAAAAGTAAAGTAAAAAGAGAGTAATACATAATTGGAATGTGTGTGTGTACCTGCATGTCGTGTTGTTACGGTCCTGTACAACCGAGTAAAATTTCCCTCCGCGATAATAAAGTATTACCTTATCTTATCTTATCTTATCTTATCTTATCTCATCTTATCTTTTTTTATCTTTTCTTTTCCAGTTCTATTTGATATTATTTCAACGATTATTTATTTGTTTGCTTGTTTTGTTATTTTGTTTTTGCTTCTTTCTCAAAGGTTAAATGCTCCGATCGATAGCTTTTAGATACAGCTCTCACCCTGCTCTAACAGCCACTTGCGGGTGTTTGGCGGGTGCTCTGGTGTGGTTTGCTCCTTCTTTCCCATCAAACATCTATCGTCCTTATCTCCCCTCCTTCTTTTTTATGTTTGTTACTCTCTTGTAACACCTCTAATCTTCTGGCGCTCATACGACCTTATGCAGTTGCGAGCGCCGTAAAACCTCTACTAAAAAAAAACAACCATCTATCGTCCTTATCTCCCCTCCTTCTTTTTTATGTGTTTGTTATTCTCTTGTGTCACCTCAAATCGTGGGTGTTTGGCGGGTGCTCTGGTGTGGTTTGCTCCTTCTTTCCTATCAAACAGCTATCTTCTTATCTCCCCTCCTTCTTTTTTGTGTTTGTTACTCTCTTGTAACACCTCTAATCTTCGGCACTTATATGACCTTACTGTGTTGCAAGTGCTGTAAAACTCTTACTAAAACAAAACAATAAGTACCACTTGACCAAGACAACCACCCGTACACCCGGCCACCTCCCACTCTTCTTTCCTTTCCCTTGGTTGTTTCTGTCTCTCTGTCTGTCTGTCTGTCTGTCAGTCAGTCTGTCTTTCTATTTTCTCGCACATTAATAAAATATGAGCGTTATGGAGCCGGCGTGTTTTAGTTACTAAGAGTTTTACGGCACTCGCAACACAATAAGGTCATGAAGTGCCGACGATTAGAGGTGCTACAAGAGAGTTAGAAACACGAGCGAGGAGGAGGGGAGAGAAAGACGATAGATGTTGTTTGATAGGAAAGAAGGAGCAAACCACACAGGAGCACCCGCCAACCACCCACACCTGCGTGTTTCTCCGCTCTCAAACAGAACAAACGAAAATGTTTTTTAGTTTTAGTAGAGGGTTTTACGGCGCTCGCAACTGCATAAGGTCGTATGAGCTCCAGAAGATTAGAGGTGTTACAAGAGAGTAACAAACATAAAAAAAGAAAAAGGGGAGATAAGGACGATAGATGTTTGATAGGAAAGAAGAAGCAAACCACACCAGAGCACACGCCAACCTCCCACTACGAAAATGTACTGCATCATAATCATAATTTTTGTCCCCGAGTATTACTCTATAAATAGGCTGTTTTGTTCTGACGGGATTGTCCCGATCCCCCCCCCCCCCCCCCCGCCCCAGAAGTTGTCTTTAGGCCATTCCTAAAGGTGGGATATTATTAACATGTTCTTATGCACAGTAGAATTGTAATTGGGCTGATTTATCAATGCCATGGTCATACTAAGCCGGAACAACATAGGGGGAACTTTTTTTTTTATATAACGCAAC